TTTTATCCAGAAAATGGAGGTAAGAGTGGAAAGAGTAAATGATATATGTCTCAATTTGGAGCTCTTTTGAGCATGCAATATCACAGTATGATACAGATAGATGTTTGAACAATGATGCATTGTATGAGACATACAGAAGTCGGGAATGAAAATATTTTACATAACGAATGATTTGAACTTCAGATAGTATACAAAAAGATCGTTTTTCACGTGATTTAATTACTCATCTTTTGACCTATCATAGCACATCAATCCATCTTTTTCCTTTCCCATTCTCCCATTAATCTCGATATTATATAACTATCCTTTGATGCTACTATAATTTGTTATCATTAAGCGTCGTGCGGCAAATTTCTAAGTTAATATTAACGATAAGCAAGGAGGTCGGTAATAATTGGTTACTTCACTCTTCTTTCGTTTTTTCTTGTTCCTGTTCAGTTCTGAACTTTGAAAAATTTTAATGAGGAAACAAATTCAAGAAAAATGGAATTTTTTGACTGCCAAATGATTGCTTTAATATCCTTCAATGGGAACAAAAATCAGAAATTTTTGAAAAAAAAATTTTAATCAATGTATGAATCACTGAATAATATGTAAATATAATAAAAATCAAAACCTTTGATGATGCTATTTGGGGTTGTGGAAAGTACTGCACAATTTCGGTTGTAAAATGTTGTCAATGTAAACGTTGCATTGTGCGTTGCTTTCAAATGACAGAAATTTGTTGACTTATCAAATTTTGCTTATTCCTTTCCGCTCATTATATACAAATATTGTCATTGGCAGTTTTCGTGAATCGAGCAAAATATGAATGCGTTGCCTCTCCGATCTTTAGCACTGTTAAACGTTTAAATGGACTTTAAATACTGACAAGAACCAATAATGGCAATCACAAAAATAATGCCAGTTAATAGTACTGTCCAGATGTTCAATGTAACACGATGAATCCACGCGACACACTCCTAATTTCTTAGATATTCACCGTATTGTTATTCGGTGATCGCTATTAGTTAGCAACATATGCAGTACTGAAATTTGAGTTAATAAGAAAGAAGGATATTCAATTCTCTAAAATAATATCAAATTCGTAATTTACATAAGCATGTCATCACAGTCTCTCAAATCTTGAGCTGAATAAATCAATGAAGTGATCGGAAGCAGTGTAAGTCGGTCGATTTTTGTTTTTTGTTAATCTTGAAGTTACAAACGTTATAGTATGCATGCAAAAGTAAGGTGAAGATGGAACAAAAAATTCAATTGTAAATTCAAGCCTTGTCTAGAGACCAAAAATAATAATATTCTTGACCATAAAACCTTCCGATTAAAATTATTTCATCAATTATGAAAAATGGAAGGTACAATTGGCAAGAATGTTGGACATTCTATCAGATGATGTTATTTGGCGTTTGTTTCGATATCTTGACGTAAAAAGCAGGACTCGACTTGCTGCTGTCAATACCGCTTCCTATAAATTATTCAATAAGGTATTGAAATGGTAGCATTGCGCCTCATGAAAAAAAAATTGCTTCATTTTTCTCGAATTTTTTCGAACTTCCAATATCTTTAAACAACAAATATACAATTATCTGCTGGTTTTATTTGAGAGAACTTATTGCTTTGACATTTCATTCTGGTAACAAATGCATAAAAAGCCTCGCGTAGAGAGCGGAAGGATAAAAGGGATACAAGTTAGTAGTTAAGGGCGCAATTTAGAAAATAACTGGCTTGAAAATTTCTCTCTTCAATTTTCTGAAGGAAATAAAAAAATTTCCATACAAAGCAAATTAATTGTTGAGAAACATGCTAAAAAATGAAAGGTTAAAGGTTAAAACTCTGATAATCAAAATTTTAGTGGGAAGATGTGCTGTATTGTTCCATTCGTATGCGTGACATTACTTTGTCCGGAGAAGGTTTTATAATGGAAGTGGAACATCATTCAGTAAATCAATGTTTTTGTCGCATTTCTTGAAAAATCAGAATTAAATCCCAGAGCCAGAAGTTCCGGAACTGAAATGAACTAAGCCAGTTAGATGACTTTGTGGAAGCAGAGAAAGAGTGCAGCAGAAGCCAAATAGATCAGTTTCTTCCAAAGCTCTAGTAATCCTGATTCTTTTCGATGTAATCCTTGAAACAAGGACAGAGAATGGAATAGTGGAAGGGATTACGAAAGTCTTTATCAGCTTATCTCGAAGTTTTATTTGCCTCGAGATAAGCTAGTAAAGGCTGCAAGAAGAATTAGGAAATTTGATGCAAATTGTATTTGCAGAAATCGATGATAGCACCACTCCTGAAACGATGCCCATTTATCCGAAAATTGGCAATTCATGATGAACGTGCTCTGTGTGGTGTGAATAACAATGTATTGCATGATTTGGTAAATGTCGATGAACTTCACCTCTCTAGCAGTTTTTTTGCTGAGTAAGTAGTCCTTCCGAACAAAGGGGGGACAACAGGTTCAAAACTGTCATATCGTGGAGAATGATCGAAAGATGTTTGCATTAATCGTTTAAAATTTTGATCTCAATTATTATTAATTGATTACGCAGCAACTGAAACGCTTTTCAATGATATCGATAGTTTATGAATATAAAGAAAAACTTTTTAAATTTCAATTTACCATTGGAATACACAGTTGTCAATATACTTCTAGAATTAAGGTCATCAGAAGAGTTATCAAATATAATTATTGTAAAATCAAGATCGTTACAATATTTTGTTGGTTGAATTTTATATGAAAAGATTCTTTTTAAGGTTTTATCAACAGATATTCTTCCAGAAATTACAAGCAGGAAGTGGTTCTAGCTAGGAGGGGCCAAACAGACATTTTTGAAATTCCTTAAAAAAAATGAATATTCAGAAGACAGTACGACCCGCTAATTGAAACGCTATTTTCATTCTCGAAACTGCACCTGCTTCACATACAACAACGGTATAACGAAGATAAATGCCAGCGGAATATTATACGCGAAAAGCAAGTGGAACAACTTGCATCAAAATCTCTTAGTAATATCAAGTTGCAGGTGTGATCAACTCAAATCTGCGTGTTATTTCATTTGAAAAATTTTGGTAGATTCATTTTTGTTCAAATGGATCTACTCACTTCTTTCGATTTATTCATATATGTGCACTGCTAAAGAGAAAGAAAATATCTATGATTTTATCGTTTCATGCAGCAACTTATAGGGTGTCGTAATAACAAAATCAGTCTTGAAGTTACTTTGTTTAAAATACCAAAAAACGCTAGAAAAATTATGTTTGCTGGGCGCACTCGTACCATCTGAAGATGCACCTACTTGCTTCCAAGCTATAAGTAAGATTTTGATCAGTATTATTGCAAATATATTCTGCGATAATTTCTCACATTTTAGTAATGCAACATTCATTATAATTTAGTAATCCAGTATTCGAATGTTTCAAATTTATATTATCTCTTATTATTCGGCAGATGGCTTGAATCGTCTAACGTGCCTGACATTGGCTCCATCGTTGTATTCGATCAGTACTACCAACAAAGCATTCTTCAAAAATTATCCCTCGCTGAAGAGTTCGGAAACGCTAAAATTAGTGGCAGTCTATGTGTCACGGCCAGATGTATCACAATTGAAGCTACTGTTCCGACAAATACTTCCGGCTAGCGTCGAGCAATTAATACTTTACGATGAAAGCTATCGCACAGCTTATCAGATCAAGCAGGAATCGAAAGAACTCAAACACAAGGTCCTAATAATATCAGCAATATATCAAGATTTGAAATGTAGTTATTAAAGAAAGTTGAAAACGATAGACTAGATAAGGAACAAATTTCTAACTTATATCTTGCCGTTCCATAGTTCAATATACAAAAAATTCGTACTCTAATTCCAAACCCAATCCGAACAGTTTATCATATTATGATGAGCAAAGAAAAGCAAAGCTTTGAAATGGACATTAAAAGTTTACTATTAATTTGTTTTGCTTATTATTACGGGTCATCTGCATTACACCACATCAAACTGCTTAACTTCACATGTTTTTTACATGCAATGCATTCAGCAAATGTTTATTCAGGTTCGGTTTTGTCGTGATAACGATATAATCATCGACAACTACTGGATGAACGGCAAAAGTGAACTAATAACACATACACTGTGGAAACCACCCTACAAAACCAATACCTCTTTGCCCTCAGTGGTTTCTTTTCTACATATTGAAATTTGAAAAGACATGAAATCCAATGTACTTTACTGAATTATTCTAATTGTCTTCAGCCTTTGCTGGGGTCATCATGGTTCGTCGTGTATTATCCGTAAACCCAGAAAAAATGTAACATTTGTTTGTTGGGTAGGAACGAACAAAAAACAAACAGACAAACAAACACACATACACACACATACATATACATACACACAATGATGATGAGATACTCCAAGCGCTGCAAGTTTGTAATATTTGCGCATATTCAGTTGCCAGAATGGTATTGTGTATTGAGCGAACTTATGGAAACAGCATTGGTCAGTGAATTTTCATGCACCTCTTCGTCAAGTGCCGGTACGACTCGGAATACATTGCAACTTAATGAATGCACCTGCATGGATCATTCCACATCATGTAAGCTCACTTCTTACGAGGTTTTCAATAAGTGAATAGTAGGAAAAAAATGCCATAGAAATCTAAACAGCAGTCAACTTCTCTTCTGAATCCAAGACATAACTTCGGCATTTTATGGCGGTGTAATAGTGCAGATGGACCTTACTGGAGCATTTATTTGTCTCTTGAAACTTGATGCAAGATAAGAAGAAACATATGACAGAAGCTTACTGAAATTGTTGATTTCAATGGACAGTTAAATTGATAGGTTGGCTGCGGTATGATCTCAGCCAGTTTATAAAGCCGTGCTGTGCGAATTTTGATACCGAGATTGAATACCAGAACAACAGCAACTCGTTGACACCACTCAGAAAATTCATGAAAATTTTTTGCAATAAAATTTCATTTCATAAATTGCAGGTAATAATGGAAACGAAAAAGTTGTATGCTCACTGCAAGAATAAACACCACAAGATTTATTCAAAACTGCTGCACTTCAAGGTTTCGATTTGATTAACGAAATGCTAACTTCGAATTGCACAGCATCATGATAAATTATCGAAAAGGATTTGTTTCAGATATAAGCGGATCACTTTAAAAAAAAATAAAAAGGAAGAGAAGGCTATTGTTCTGTGGTGATAACTGATAATTAAGTGCACCGTAATGTCTCTTCAAATAAAACAAAATGAAATATACCCATCCAAACATCAAAAACTGTTTTGGTGACTTTGATTTTCTAATCTACAAAACGCTTAAAATCGAACCATTGGGACTGTCAACGTCATTGTCCAATTAAAAGTACAGTAAAGCTTATTTCTTTTCTTGCAATAAATTATTGTTTAAATTCCATAAATCCTCGTAAATAGGAAATTCCATAGCAACTCTCATATCGGAATTAGCAACAACTTAAGTAGTCGCGTATCTTTAATTGAACAAATTGACCTTTATGTATATATTTTCAAAGTTTCAAGTATTCCAAGTGCATTTTAAGCAGATGTTTTAGGAGAACTTCGGGGAGGGTTGTCGTCGTCGTCGCTAGGTTATAACCACGCCTGCTGCATGTGCGCTGATGGTTAAAAGACCAATGCTGCTGGAGAAAGATTCTGGGACTTGTTCTTTGCTGTAACTCCATTGCATTGATATTAGCCTTTTATACGATGTGGTACAATATCGCACTGAAACAATAACAAGGATGAAATGAACAATACACAATAAGTATTGAAGGATACTGAACGGTCTTATCCTTCATTCTGTTGAACTATCGTATTCCGCTTCTCTGCTGTTGTCAAATTGAGTATCTGACTATATGTCGTCTTTAATGATTCTCCGAGCTGGCGATTGAGTGATTGCTGCAGGAGCTGTCGGATTGAGCGAGTAACCACGAGTTTTTTGGATTTGTTTACTGCCCATCAGGATAACTAATTCCAGCTCCTTATATAATGGAATTTCAGACACATTGGCTTAACTACCAGACTAGAGGTTCTCTACAATGTTCAAACATTTATACATAAGTTCTTTGCCCAATTCCGACAAAAGCTTGATTAATAGATTGGGAAAGTTACAGCAAAG